TTAGGGTTCAGGGTTTAGGTCTTTTAAGGGCTCGCCTTAGAAGGATCCTTGCAAGGATCGAGGTTCCTTTAAAGGGATCCCTTATGAAAGGACTCCTTTAAAGGGATCCTTTAAAGGAGCAGGGTTCCTTAAACAGGGATCCTGTGAGGATCCTTTTAAGGGAACTTCGGAAGGAGACCTGAAAAAGAATCCCTCAAGGGCTCTACAAGGGTTCCTGAAGAGGTTGTATACGGGTATGATGGGCTTCAGGGCTGAGGGCTTCGGTATTAGATCTTCGGGTCTGGGTTCAGGGCTGCAGGATTTAGGGCTTAGCGTTGGGGCTGTAGGGTTTAGGGCTTAGGGCTGTAGGGTTTAGTGTTTAGGGCTGGAGAATTATATCGGGGTGCAGCTTCTACTTTCTAGTTCCCTACAAAAGGCCCGGAAGAGACAGATCTTAAGCCCGGGTGACCACTACATCGCTTTGGGGGCAGACCGAGACCCTGAACCCTAAACCCTAAACCCTAACTAATCCCTAAACCCTAATCCCTAAACCCTAGAATCGGTTTAGAATCCAGGATTTTGTTTTTTTTTGTTTGAGGGGGGGGTTTAGGGTTTAGAGCTCCACACTGCCTGAGACCTGCAAGTGACACGACGCAATCCAAATGATGGGAGTTGGGATTAGGGGGACCCTTGGGGATATGGACCCTCTCAATAGGTCCCTTGTAAGACAGCCATGAGTAGGGTTAAGAAGGGTCCCCTTTAAGGGGTCTCCCTAATACTACCTAGGAGAACAGTAATAAACCACTACAAAAACCAGACAAAGCCCTGCCCGATCTGCCAAAGCCCTGCGTAGGGTCCTTTATGGCCCATCGATTGCCGAAACGGAAGAACCTATGCCCGAAGTAGCCCTACAGGTAGTCCTATCGCAACAGGTACCTGCAGCCCCCAAAAAACGACCTCGTTAAGGAGTTATATATATATATAAGCCACGTAAAGAGCCGTAAAAAGGTAGGTTTTATCGGCCACAACACGATAAACCCCAAACCCTAAACCCCAAACCCTAAACCCTAAACCCGAGACCGTAGACCCTCAAGCCTAGACCCTAGACCCTCAACCCTAGACCCTAGACCCTAAACCAGTAAGAAACCCCAAAGTCAGAATCGCCAAGTAGGCGAGCGCCTGCGCGAGGGAGCATTGGGCCAGGACGTGGCTCGGTTGCGAGCGGACCGTCCAGGCTTCCAAGTCCTTTTAGGGCTTTAGGGCTTAGGCTTTGGGGTTTAGAGCCTAGGGTTGAGATGGTTGAGAGGTTTTAGGGTGTAGGGCTTAAGGTTAAGATGGTTGAGGGTCCAGGTTTTAGGTTGTAGGGCTTAGGGCTGAGATGGTTGAGGGGTTTGGTTTTAGGGTTAAGGGTTCAGGGCTTAGGGTGAGGAACCTAACTTAAGTTACCATAACAGGGACCTATAGTAAGTAGTAAGTAGCAGGGTTTCCATATGATGGCAACTGGAAATTTAAAAATAGATTCCTTAACAAGCACCCAGTTTAGCCTTCATGCTTTAGAACATGTCTTCTGTTCACTTATCGGGTTTCGTGGCTAGGGCTTTTACGGCTTTAAGCTTGCAGGGGATGTCTCCATTGACTTTTAAGCTACTGGTGGTTCAAGGCTTTAGGCTTTATGCTTTCGGGGAGTGTCTATTGACTTTAGGGTGTGCTTGGGTTCAAGGACTCAGGCTCTAATGTAGGGGCCTTAATAATTAGAATAGGGTTCTGGGCTCCTTTGTTGTATATTTAGAATAAGGAACCGCCAAAATAGTACGGCTAATTATTTAGGCCCCTACATCATGCTGTTTCTATTGACGTAAGGGCTGTAGCTAGGGTTTAGCCTACGCGCCTCCACATAGAGGTTTGGGGTATGGGGAAGTCGCCTTACCCAATAAAGCGGTCTGAATACGTAACAGCCTTCCCAGCAAAGTCCTTATAGATTAGACTACAGTATCACGCCAAGCCCTGTTCTAAATATCACGGCACCTAGAGGCCTGGAGAAAACCCCAAAACCCTCAACCTTAGCCTGCTTGAGAAGGTCTCCGTCCTCCTGGCGGCTGCCCAGGACCGTGTCACCTGATAGAAGGCCAGCACTTGCACCATCATCATCATCATCACCACCATCATCATCATCATCACCATCATCACCACCACCATCATCATCACCACCATCATCATCACCATCATCACCACCACCATCATCACCACCATCATCATCGTCACCATCATCGTCGTCATCATCGTCGTCATCATCATCATCACAAAAGTGTGGGAGGGAGCAAAGTGCGGGCAAGAGAGGTCAGACAGATATCAGTACACCAGTCAACGTCGCAGAGGTGCAACACTCGCGTCATTCATGACCCGCCCGTGGGTCGTTCCTGGCTCCCCTCCGGTCTAGAAACTTCAAGTTCTGAAGACGTCAAACTCTAAAACCAGCCTAAACCCGCAAAACTCCAAAGATTCGACACCCTGGCGGCGAAAGCCCAAAGCACTGCCGTGCCAATCCAAAGATCTAGAACAAGTCCGGAACCCCCAAGGCCCAAAATCGCACCACACCTGCCCCACTCCACGGTTTAGGGTTTACGGTTTAGGGTTTAGGGTTTATGGCAACAAGGCAAAGTTCCCCCTGATCCTTCAAGTAATACAGGGGGCCTAAGTGGCCTAAGTTACATTTACCCATGAAATCTCCGCAAATACAAGGCCCCCAGAGCCCGACCTGTCAATCCGACACCTACTTGGAGGCTCAGGGGTAGTTCTAAGAGGATCATAGGTATTTTTACGTGGGGTTGCAGGTCCCCTGATATGAGTAAGAACTATAGTTACCCTACTTATAACCCAACTTATAACTACCCTAAACCCTAAACCCCACATCCTAAACCCTGAACCTCCAAGTAGAGCTCCTACCCAAACCCTAAACCCTAAACCCTAAACCCTAAACCCTAAACCCTAAAAGAGCTCCTAAAGATCCTCTTTGGGTCTCCGACTGACCTGCTGGTAGCTGCTCCTGACACAAAGGTGGCAGTTTCGGCGGGCTGCATGAAACCCTAAACCCTAAGCCCTAAACTAAACCCTAAACCCGAAACCCAAGTAGGAGCTCACAAAAGCTCGCTTCTAGAGTGGTTCGACACGATTCTCGTGCTTTCGATGGCTTTGCTTGTTTTTGAACCTCCCCCCTAGCCGCGAAACCCGAAACCATAAACCCTGACCACCGTTATCAGCAGCGGCAGCACCGTTACCTTCATGGTGGTCATTATCAGCATGATCGCCTCCTACAGCATCCTCCCAACCAGGCTTGTAAGTCTTCAACTTCGTTCAGGGCCCTAGCCCTAGGCTCAGCTCTTCGTTGTTATGCTGCAGGGCGTGGGGCTTGGGAGTTGCGACGTTTGCTGCACGCTTGACAGCTCGAGCCTCATCTAAAGATGCATGTGAAAGATCCAGGTGTCCCTACTATTCCCTAGAACTAAATTATGATTTGCCGTCTCGGCAGTTCCTACATGCTTGCAGCACAAACCCGGTCCAGTGCAAGTCGAAGTCCGGTGCAGACTGCATCGGAGGCGGCAGGAGTGGGTTGATGGCAACGTAGACCCTCAGAGCGTGTGCTTTGTCGTGGCTTTAGTGGGGGGCTCCGGGTCTTGGGATGCTTGAAACAAAGACATGTAATATAGGGGCCTCCATAATTAGAATAAGGCTCTGGGGCCCACTATACTACATAGAGTTTAGGGTTTAGGGTTTAGGGTTTAGGGTATACTGCATTACTTGCAACAACCATGTAACATCACGGCAGCAAAGGCTTCGACATGTGCTAGAAGACCTGAGGTTCCGAGGTTCTGGAAGCCCTGACCGATGCTGCTCCATTGTGGAACCAACGCTCCTCCTGGAGTGTCCCTGATGATTCAGCGGGAATTTGCTCCAGATTCTGGTCCCTTCCGATATTCAGTCGCCAAAACCCGGAAAAAAACCCCAAAAACTTTAAAACCCCCAGACCCCCAAAACCCTAAACGCCCTAAACCCTGAACCCCTAAACCCCAAATCCTCCCAAGCATCCAAAGGCCAGGGGCCTATTTTGTTGTAAGAAACCCGGCTTTTGGACGGGTGAGGGTTTAGGGTTTAGGGGTTTTGGGCTTAGGGGTTTGGGATGTAAGGTTTTGGGCTTAGGGCTTGGGGTTTACTCAGCCGTGGGCAGCTTTGGAGCATTGCCGCCGGAGCCTGCAACCAAGAGCACTAAACCCGAAACGGAGTGAACCCTAAACAGCACGCCCTAAGCACTAAACAATAAAGCCTAAACCCTAAACCCTAAACCCTAAACCCTAAACAGCACACCCGAAGTCCTAAACAGTAAGGCCTAAACCCTAAACCTTATTCAGCAACCAAGCAATACTCTTGGTCGGGGAATGGGTTCTAGCGTGGTCTAGGGTTTAGGGTTACTACACCGGAGTTCTACAGCGGCTCTGGAGGGATTGCGAGACGGGCTACGATAAGGGCTACTATAAGGAACCCTTAAGGTCTTAGGATGTTTTAGGGTTTAGGGCT